TTTCCCCAGAATAAATCCAAATATCTTCAGCAGAATGAAGAAAATTAAACTTGATTCTTTCTGTTAGATTTTGTACTATTTTGTATCTTCTTACTTTTTATATAAACATAGATGTACAATAATAACTATTTACTATGATCAACAAGGAAGTATACACTTTTAAATCTTAACGTTAAGAGAATTTTATTATAACATAATAAATGTATTGTTTGAACAATTTGAATAATTTTGCTGTGTAATTGTTTGTATGACATTTGTGTGCCACAGAAAAAAAAAAATTCCTAAATTTCAAGTGTATCAACTGGCATTGAATTCCATACAAACATGGATGTTTGCCAAATATTGATACAATTCAATAATCGTTTCCATATTGTGAACTTCGGGACACTGCTGCTCATTCTTAAAAATTATAGACTATAAACAAAGGAATTATATACATCAGTTTAGAATTAATGTGTGATTACACGTGCTTTAATTTATGAAGCAGCAGCTTTGTAAGGAAACGCTTCCAGAGTTAGAAGTTATTTTATAGCAAACATTTCCATCTGTTCTTCCAACGCTGAAACTCTAAACATTCGCGTACACACTCAGATTTACACATGCATATGCAAATAGTCCAAAAGGGCTAAATTCACAGGGAATTTTTTCAGGACTGTGACATACGTACAGCTTTTAATTACAGGTCATGGAAAGGTGTTTTTTGATAGACTAAAAAAAAAAAAAAAAAAAGGAACATTTCAGCTCTATATTCACCATTAATTTTCTTCAGGACAAACACAATCCTACACAGAACCAAACGTTTCAGATGAATAATACTGCTTCACTGTCACAGAACTAAAGTAGGAACTGAAGAGCTATTTGTGAAAAGAGGTGGAGATCGTGGATGAGAAACTCCTTAATTTCTTAAAGGCTCTCTACTGCAATAACTGCACTTTCTCTATTCAAATTATGTACTATATTAACTTTAAAGAATGTGGCTTAGCCAGAATTTGCTTAACTTTCTCACTATACCTACACTTACACTAAAATTTCAATTTCAGTAAAACACAGTCCAATGGACTACTTGGAAGTAGCATGTGCCACAATTTTTCAATAATCCTGGATTATTTGAGTTCATTTTTAATCACAGAAAATGATGTGATACTTGTAATAGTACCTGAATGATGCATTAAAAGATACAATCCTAAAACCAGCTATATATTTTGTGCCATGTCCCATGCAAAATACGCATAGTAGTCATTAACTGACCACACAGTTCATAACACTGATTTGGCACAGTCTCTTCACAGAATGTGTCCCAGATGTTATTGTAAAGTTTTTATACATGTACAAAAACTAAAAATTAAAACCCCTTTATGATGCTAATAAATTGTCTAACTTCTATGACCATATGCAAGATTTCAATTCTTCATAAACATTTGAACTAATTTAGTAAACATTTAGAAAACTGTGTACTACACTACAGACTTTAAACGTGACAGCTGACAACATAAATTTTCTGGATGATGATCGAGTCAATGTTAGTGCAGCTGTAGCAACAGTAAGACAGGCAAAAGTTTACCATTTAGTTTCAACTATTTGAGTGCATTTTTCATAAGATTCAAGGATTGCCAATGATTTACACTCAATACATAAAGTCTAAATTGCCAGTAAAAATGGGAAATAAAATTTGAACCCCTTAAAATTATTTTGAAAGTATTTTTCAACTGCACAAATAAGGACTTAGGGCAAGACACTAAATTATCCATTTCCTGAAAATAAATAACACTTTAAACAACAATAGTTCTTTAGAAAGGAAACAATCACTATATTGAAATTAATAGAAACACAATTCATGCATATTTTTATTACCTAAGTAATTCAAACAAAATATTTTGCCTACAACATTTATATTAGAAACCAAAATGCGTAGTCCTGGACGTTTGCATGTGTAAAGGCTGTGGAATTTGGCCACAGCTCTTCAGATGAAGCTGTTCTCTAAGACATTAATTAAAAACAAAAAGTTAATTCTCAATGCACAGAATGCAAATCTTTGCCCTTACATTATACAGCTTTACTTTATGTTACTTTCCATCACAAAAACTACTGATACATTCATTCTACCTGTTGTAATTTTTATAAACCACAAAGTTCTGCTTCTTCTAGCATTCAGAGAATCTTGCAAAGGTTATTAAAATGTTTTAGGGAAAATAACATTTATTTCACTTGTCACTAATTCTTTTAATAGCAGCTAAATTGGGATTAGTATATCAAGGTCATAAATCACAAGCTCTGATAACTAACTTTGTTGACTGTTTTATCTCCAGGAAAAAGTCGCCTTGATTGCAGTGAATATTTCTACTAAAGATATTTTTAAATTTCACTTCCTGACTGTCTTTTCCACATTCTGTTCTGTGTCATTAAATGCAGTGTAAAGCTCCACAAGTCCAAAGCTAATGCAATATATACATAATCTGATTATATTTTCTCTGAGTTAAATCATCTCATTTTGGAATACTGTGTGGGGTTTTTTGTTTTTTTGTTGTTTTGTTTTTTTGTTTTTTTCTCATTCTTTTCTGCCTTGTGGCCATACATAATTGATCAGATAGTTAACAATAAATGTATGGGAATGTTGTAGAATCCTACCATGGGAACGGCTATTTCCATCACATGTCAGTTTATCAGAGCCAGAATAATTGCTGCTGGCATATCACAAATGCCTTAAATGCGTACTCTGTGCAAAAAAAGCAGCAGGGTTCCAGCTTCTTAAGCATGTGCAAACTAGTGCAGAGAATGTAAGTTACCACTTTAAGCTTCAACATCAATCTAGAGTCCACCACAGGGGGCTTCTTCATCACCTGCAGTTTACATCTTCAGAAAGTTCAATTGTTGACACCCGTAGCTATCCAAATATATACGCAATGCAATCCACAAGCTTTGAGGACTCCCTTGATTGCTGGCTGGCTCTATTGGGCCATATGTTTGATGTTTGGTAGTGAAATACAGGAACACGAAAGAGAAAACACTGCTTGACATGCGCTAATCCCTGAGCTTAGTCTTCCTGGAAAACTTAAGTCACTCATTATGCTCTCAGCTCAGAGTTCAGTTTCAGAAAAACACAGCAAACAGCGGCTGCAGAGACTGGTTAAACAGACTTCTTATAAAAGAGTTTGCTCAGGAAGGCAAAGCTTGACTCAAGAGATTAGCCGCTAGTTGGAGTATTTAAACTCTGTTACAATTTTATTGTTTCTTAATTAGGTTCTTATTTCTCTATCCAAGTGGCTGTCCATTCAAATTGGGCCAGACCAGGCCAGGCAAAAAGGACATAAGCAGGTATGAGATATATTATAAAAGCTTTTCTCAAGGCAAACACTGTGCTGTGCAAAAAGTGCACAGTAGCATTCTCTCTTCACTGTTCTGAAAGAAAGACAGATCTCAGTATTTATTCCCAGGCAGGTTTCCAAGAACTGACTCTCTGAGATATCTACTTCTTTTCAGCTCCAGGTATTTCCTAAGTCTGATGCAGTTTGCATGACTAGCACTCCTCAATGAATCCCAGTGTTGAGTTTCATCTTGAAATATGTATACAAATGTTTTTTGCGTTCACAAACAATCTTAGATATGAAGCTCAATGTAATGCAACAGAAAATGGAAACGGAGAAGATTGTCAAAAGGCCACACCATTCAGGAATTCTGAAATTTTAAAAGAAAATATACTAGAAAAAGAGAAATACTGGAAGATTTCAGAGTTCCATGCAGTAGATACTGTATATGCTCCAGATCTCCAAGTTTTCACAACAACTTCCATGAAAAATATTTTTTTCTTTAGGAATGGATTTGTTTCATTATTTTTATACCTTGATTATACAGTGTATGAATACTACTATAAAATAAAAGCATTCAGGATATTTTTTAAGGTTCAGCAACACAAAAGACGTTTTTTTCTGTCATCTGTGATGATAAAAAAAACTGCATAATAAAATGGATATGTATACACACATTGTAATTTCCAGATAAATCTAGTTGCCACTAATTGTTGCAAGATACAGAACAAAATTACTAAATATATTCACTTAAGAAAATAATATCACAGTAAAGGCTATTATTTCATTAATTTATTACATAAAAGTATGGTAGTATGCTTTTTTATTTGTAAAAAAAAAATAAACTTCTAACAGTATTCCAAAAATTCTATAATATTTAAGAATCTTTATATTTACCCACGCACTGGAATATTCATATTTCTTGCTGACTTAGCAACTTCTTCAAATTTTTCTATGCTCTCTTCAATAGAACAATTAATATTCATTTTGCTAAAAGATTCAGATGCTGCACCAAATACTGAAACCTCTGTAGCCCCTGCTGCAATCTGAAAAATACATTTCAACAGAACAGAATTATAACGTTACATTACAAGATGAGATTAAGTACTTAATTCCTTAAGACCTTTTGGAACTTTAAAGTACATTATAAGTCTTCTCTATTTCTGAAGTATAAGTTTAATTACTTTCTTTTTTTTCTATCTATTTCATACAAATCAGTCAAATCAAACATTGAGTGCATTGCCCTATGACAAATTTCCTTCTTAGCAATCATGCACACATAAAAATATAAATACATAAATATATATTAAAAATACATATATATTTTAAAGTGATAAAATTTAAGTATTAAAATGCAGGAAAATACATAAACATTCAATGAAAATAACAATTCATTTCATTTTTTGCAAAAGTAAAGACCGCATAACATCTCTGAAACATTCAGCTTCCGTACAAAGTCAGCTCCTTGTCAGTGCCAAGAAGTCATTCTCACAACATCTGTGACCCACAAGTACATAGAACAGCGGCAGTAACCAATAAGATTTCCTTGACACAGTTGACTGCTATGATCAAGAGCTCCACTGGTATTGGTGTCATAGCTGAGAACACAAAGAGGGCATTTGGATTCTGCGAGAAAAGGCCTCAGAGCAAATACCAGCCTAGAAAATGCCTAGTGTCAATGTGTGAGCTTCACTGAAGGGGTGATTAGCCCGAGCTTGTACTCAATTAATCAACTAACTAAGGAGGCAAATCAGAACACTGAGAAAACATTTAAGCTAATTAATTAATTCTCACTTTCTGGTACAAATACTAGTAGCTTTCTCTCTCTAGCTCACTTTTCCCTTTATTTGCTGTTTCTGTGGGATGTCTTAACTTCAGCAACCACTACAGAAACAAAAACCCTTTCAAATAAAAGGATAAAAAAAAAATCAAGAAAGGACAGAGGAATCACCTGCAACTATTGTTTGTTTTTGTTTTCCCTTCACTATATCACTAAGCAGGGTATGCAGAGATCTAATTTAATTTACATAAGTTGCCACCGCAGACAAAGCTGGCTGACTGTTGGTAACTGACTCACTTATGTATAGAGTTCTACTTAACAGAGATTACATGTGCGGTGTAGAAACTGAACAACAGACTACACCACAACTGTCCATCTGCAAAGCAGAGTGCCTTCTAAATATGACTGTCCTCTATCAAGGCAAAGCATGGAAGCATGAAACATTTTCAGAAAAAAAAAACAACAATGTAAAGACAACTATCAATAAGCATTGCTTTATGAAGACTGAACTACACCATTTTGGGTCTTAACATAATGAATATTTACTCTGTATGAACTGGAACAGTTAAAAACTTTTGAAATGAAATGAAAAATTTAAGGAACCTAACACATTCCTCTAAACCATTTTCATTTAATTCACTCACTACTTTCTAATAAGAAAAAATTCTGCAGAAACTTTTCTAGAGCCAACAAGCTTAAGAAAGAAAAGGAGCTCTCCTTTTTATGCAAGTATCATTTATACAAATATGCAAGGACTGATTGATATTTCCACTGGTGTGAGAAATTAGGGAAGGAAAAAAATGAAAATGTGGAGGAGGTAATTGTGAATGTCTTCTACAAATGCACTTACAGCTGAATGAAAACCTTTAAGATTAGGCGTGAGAACAGGATATTGGACTCCAGGATGCCGCTCAATGCCTCTCATTACTTCTTTGTGATCTGCCATCTAAAATACAGAAATAATTTGCAGCTAATTTTTATATTATATATCTAAGCAAAAAAACAATGTCTAGTTCAGGTATACCGTTCACAGAAAAGAATAACAGCACAGGGATTAAACTGAGGTTGCACAAACGTCTTTTCTTGTATTTCTTAACTTTTGAGTATTTGATTTGCAAGCTTTTAAGTTCCACATGAATACAGAACTGGGATTAAAAATTCTGTAGTGTTTTGTTTTACATGTATATGTAAAAAAAAGAATGCATTATACACTGACAAATTTTTTATGATGCTAATCTCTGATTGTTACTGCAACTTTAAACCTACCTTGATGGACTCCATAGGTGAAATCAACAGAATAAAACCATCCAAAACTTGAAAATGGAGCACTTTGATAAATGAGACATCAGATATGAGATAAATGAGACTTCACAAAATTGAAAACAATTGAACTTACTCAATGCTGTAACCAGCATATTTGAAAAAACTAAGAACAAGTGCTTAGTCTTTTCTTAAAAAATACAGCAAAATCCAAATTTCTGCATAGTGCAACATTTTAATATACTTGGGACTTTCTTTCCAAAAACAAAACAAAACAAAATTATTACAACAAAAGTCAAAGAGCAATACTTTACTGAACGCCTACTGAAGCATTTGTTTTCCTTAGCCTCCCATCACAAGAGAAATCATACCTTGCAGGATACGCTTACTTTTTTCTCACTCGAGATTACATATAGCTCCATGTATTAATCAAGAAGAAAAATCAAAGACTTATTTAAACTGTATATTATTTAGACAATTTATTTTTTGAAAAAGTGGGAGAAAATTAATTTTTTTAATGTTGCCCACGTTTGAAAACAGAGTTAACAACACAAGTAATTCCTACTTTGCATCTTTCAGATTTTGAGTTTTAGAATACTCAATCTACATACGTTTCAAGTGCTGTTTACATCAGTTTTCACATAAATTTCCAAACAAACAGTACTTTAAATATTTAACTGGATTTCTGATTACCTTCACACTTGTGCAGAGTCAACTTAGGAGTACTATATGAAAAAATACATGAACTATGAAGCTTTCACTACTTGTTATTTGGAAAAGATGTGAAATAATGAGAGTTTGCAGTACCTGAATTCTAAGTACATTCTAGGTTACTAAGTGCCAATACTACCAGTAACCTAGAATCTCACATGACTGGTTTCCTATTATGAAAATGGATGAATTAAATACATCAGAAATATGCATGCCTGTTTCCTCCAGTGTAAGACCAACGTGCGCCTGTAAAGAAGTAGATACACGGTACATACAGAATGTCTTATAGACTGATACACCTTATTTCTCATCAGGAATCAAGAAAATAGCACAAAGTAAATTTCTGTAATTGCTTGTATGTAAACTGTATAGGTCCTTATAATTAACATATCTGATGAAGTTACAGAAAACATTCTGTCTTGCCTTATTTAAGAACAATTTTGCATTCCACAATTTAATAAAATTTCTGAGGGCAAAGGAGAACGTTTAAAACTAAATGATTAAATAAATGGCAAACGTTGGAAGTAATTCTACACTTTAAAGTTATAGCCCAACTTAAAATATATTAGAAAACCAAAATGACACAGTTTCAAACTGCATAAAACTGCCAGGTCCAAATAATACTTTATGTAGTACATTTGTCCCATTACTATTTTTCCTGTAAGTAAAATCCCATTTTAACACATGTTGCACGTTAGAAAATTTTAAATTGCAATAAAACATTTCTTTTCCAAATGTGTTTAAAAATAAGCTTTCTGATGGTAGGTATTTATAATTTTGGGCCATTTAAGTTATAGGTGTGGGGATCCTGTTTACATGGCATCTTGCTACCGTGGAACTTCTTCTTTTAGCATTTTTTCAGCAACAGAATCTCTGGGCCAAAAAAAAAAAAAAAAAAAAAAAGAAAAAAGAAGTGGATGGGAAACTATAAAAAGCTCGAAAATACCAAAAAAAGAAATAAGTGAATGAGTAATCTAAACATAACCAAGAATTTCATTCCCATGACTCACGAAAATAAAAAGGAGCAAAGAAAAGACAAAGTCAAGACTGCACTTCCTATCAAAGCAACACAATCTTATCTTTTAAATAAAGAAACATTTTAAGCACAACTTAAGTCATTAAAATAAAGCATTCAGACGTGGATTTAAGATAAAAAGGGATTGTTCATTTTTTCTCAAACTGTCACATCAGTACTAAATTTGATACTCTTAACGGCTGATAGGAGAAGAAAATAATTAGACAGGAAATGAAGAAGTCCATTCTTTTTTTTTAGACTTTTCCCTCACATGTTTAAAATCTTTGTGTTATTCTCTGTTGCTGTAGCAGCAAAGTTTGATGACACTTAGCATAGGCACTTTAACGAACGCAAACTGAAAGTACACTGCCACCCAAGATATTCTGTAGTTATCTTTCTCTTATCCTTTCTTTAGGTTCCTCTCTGATGATCCCAGAAACACTGAAATAAATACGTGTGTGCTCTATAGCCAGTTTGCTCTGCTATCTCAAGAACAAGAAGAAGTATGACCATACCATGTTTTTCTCAGATGAAAGCCTGGAATGCAGGACATATTCTCAACAGCTTCAATTGAACAAACTTTTTATACATTTTAACAGAAGATGTGCAAATAAAAATGTTAAAAATTAGCATATTTTCTCACATCAATTATATACATGTATTACTTTGTAAATAACTCGTGTGGTCCTTACTAAATATACAAATACTCAAATGCTTCTGTGTATACAGAGGAATCTCAGAGTCAGTTGCCTTGCTTTGGTGCTAGGGAACATTTCTGAAGTAACCCCCAGTTTGCACAAGTTCTGTAATTATGTTTTCTTCCTCTAGAAAATTTCTTATGTTTGGGAGCGACGATGATGTCTAAGATTTCAGCTATGGAAGAAAGAAGAAAGCTGGAAGCAAGAAAAAGCTGGAAGAAGGTTCAGCAGAGGATACTCCAAACAGCTCTGTTAAAACTATTTCCCTTTCCGGTCAAAAGTTGAGGTTCTACTCTGCCTCCCTGCTGGAGAAACAGCACAGTTGTGGAGCAACTAACCCCATGCTTGGCCATGTATCTGTTGACTAGATTCTGGCTATGTCTCAGATAGATACGACTTCCTATCTTGAACTGTCAAATCACCATAGACTTGCCTCAGTATGTGCCACCCCCGGTTACATTCACCCACCTTGCTCTGTTCTTGGGCACTGCTGGAATACCCCTTTGTCAACAAGGCTACAGCCTCTGATCCTCTGGTTATTGTGTTTGGATCAGGGTTGCCTTTCCCTTCTGGAGCAATCTGTTCTTGCTGTTCCTTCACTCTACTGAGTTATGGATTTAACCAGTTTTCTGCAGAACTTCTGTTCAACTGTTGACACTGATTGTGTCTGCATTCACTGCATGTGACTCCCACCTCAGGGCATGCAACACGCGGCTCTGGCTAACATTAGATTATAATTTGAAGCTATAAAACCTTCATGTTCCAACAAGCCCTTCAATGGATGCAGCTGAAAACAATAAAAATACTTTCAGCTTGTTATTTTTCATTGGAATACGCTGTGGGACAAAGACATAGACATAAAGATAGATAAAGGTGTGTAGAGTTTATATATATATATATGTGTATGTATTGAGACTACATTTTAATAATTAGTTCAACTTCAGTAATCTAGGTAAAACCATAAAACATGAAAACTGCATAAATAGCCTCAGACAACAATATCTGATTTTACAGACACAGTGTATTACCCCTGTTCCACTTTCGTGGATAAGTATACAGGCTATACTCTTGGAAAACTCCACTGCATGGAATGACATGTAAATTTAAATTAGAAATCGTGATGATTTTACATACCTGAGGCACCCATTTGGATGAAACAAAACTGGTCACTTCTATTGCTGGAAGGCCTGTTTTAGAAAGCCGGTTGATTAACTCTATTTTGGTATCAGTTGGGACAATCACCTGTGAACATGGAGACGTATTATCATAAAGCATTTCATTCAGCAAGACGTTTTTATAAGTGACATGTTCCTAGCAATAATCCATACATGAGTTATAAAATAATGAACTCTACTTGTACTATGCAATTTACTGAGAGAGGAAGCTGACATTCAGGGAAAGCACTAGATGTAGGTACGCAAGATTCTACTCCATTTTTTCCACCACAAAAACAAAATGAGGAAACACTTCCACATAACTGATTATAGATCTGTCCTCACATCAGCCTGGAGAAGAAGCAACAAAGGAAACTGTAACAGAGTATAGTCCAACCAGAGAAATATTGGGGTAAAAAATAAAAGCTCCACAACTGAGGCAGAGTTATTCTCCTATTCTGGAGTACTACTAACTCTACCAAAACCTTTTATATAAGTAACAATATAAGTAAGATTAACCACCCATTTATGAAAGGGATTATTGTTTGGGTTTTGACAAACATACAGTGTTTTAAATAGTCCCTTTCAATCTACTTCTATACTCCCTATACTCCTTTAGGCAATAATTTCATTTCCTCAGGAATTACGACAAAATCTATCATACTGTTCCTACTGTATATATATATACCTACATGTTCCATATTACAAGCATAGCTAGTGTTTTGTTATAACAGAATGTGATTAGCTGACAAAAAAATCCAGAGGAAAAAAAGGTGGTGGAATAAAATAAAGGCTACTTAATCAAGTACTGCAAGAGGTGATGCAATTTAACATTTGGCTAAACAGTAACATGCTTTAATTCTATGCAAGACGGTTATTAATATACATAACTATATTTTATAAAATGGAAGAAATATGATTAGTATGACACATGTATTTTACACAATGAAAAGAAACTGATATCCATGTCAAGGTACACAAAAAGAAATTACCTTTTCATTTTGTAAACCATCCCTTGGCCCAACCTCTACAATCTTTATGTACTCCGGCAGTCCAGATACTTGGGATTCCTGAAACACAAAACAATGAAGATCTCTAAAATAAAAGGCACAGCTTGCACTTCTCCTGTTATTCCAGGTATAAAGTCATACTGTCAACAGTGAATTTAAAAAAGATCTGTGAGAATATGTTCCACACCTTCAATTAGGGAATGAAAAGCAGAAGTTACTGACATATATGTTCCACAGCTACTCTGAGGCCAAAAATGCTTATTTTAAGAATATACAGAAAGCCATAAATGAACATTTTGTTTTACAAAGTGAGAAATATTCCCATTTCTAAAAGCTTCCCAACAAACAAGTGTTACCATCCTCTAAACTTTTACCTGAATGTTCTCAATTTAACCGAACACTTCTGTGTAAAGGTTTGCAAGACTAGGCTATAAATCTGAAAAGAACAGGGCAAAGAAGTCAAGAAATGTTGAAGAGATTATTAGTGAAAGATGAAAGTAATTCCTCTGCTGGAAGATGAAGGCTTTAAAGAAGGATTTAAAGGGGAACAAGGAAGGCCCCTGGTAGACAAGAGGAATTTTCCAGGTGTAAGAGAAGATCCAAAAAAGCAGGAGGCTCAAAGGAGGGAAAGAAGGCAGCAGTAAGGTTATAGGGCTAAGGAGAGCATGGGGAGTTGAAGGGGGAGGAACGAGAAACAAGAGCAGAAAAGCAGGTGAGGGGAAATGAAACTTCCTTTTTTATTATTTAGCTGCTCTGTTATTGAATCAAGTTGACAGGTGTGGCAGTTAACGTAACCTGCGCCTTGAAGTCCTGAAACACTTCAGAGTAGTTGCTTAGTTTGACCCCCAAATGCTGTGTGTCTTTAAAAAACAAATCAAATGGCCAACCTCGGGCAGGCAGCCAGCCCCTGGATGAGCAGACAGGGTGAAGAATACAGGCAGCCCCACCAGAAGCTTTGGAGGTGCCCTGTTTTCTATATTGCACTGAATCCAGAATCTTATTTGGTGTCTTCAATTCGTGCTAAAGCCCTTGATGGGACTAGTGCAAGCTACCTGCAGGACAGTAGCTCTCTCACAACCATGTCCTCCCCTGGCAGCTAAACTCCGCTGCATCCATGAAGCTGTCAGCTCTGGGGGACCAACCCTGCGCGCAAGAGTCTAAGTTTGCACAGAGACCAAGCACAGCCCACAGAAGTCGTTTGTGCCACGCATGAATGTTGTGAGACCAGTGGTCTTATTCAAAATGTGCATTTCATCCCTTCTTTATTAGTAGCATCAGTGTAGTTTGAATCAAAGTGCTGCTAATTTCTCCTCACAGCAATGGAAAATGAGCCATCTGCACCGTACTTCTACAGCACCTTTGGTTTTCCCCCGCCTTCTCAGCGCCCATGGATTAAAGGAAGCTCTCTACAGTAACAGGCGACATACTGGCCAAAATACAATAAACGTATTTCAGAGCATTTACTGTATATTTATCTGAGCTCAGTAAAAAGAATGGGAAACAGCTGTATAGTATCTATTTGATCACGTGGAACATCTGGTAAGTTAAAACTTTGTCAGGCTGTGCTAAGCCCACACTCGCTGACAGTATAAACCTACTTAAATGGGAAGGTAAAACCTTCACATGTGCTGTATATTGTTCCTCCTTTTTCTTTTTTTTTTTCCCCTCGAGTTATTTTCACAAATATGGCACAGCTTCAAGCATAAATCTGGGTTATTTCATGATTATAGATCCTTCTTGTTACAAGACAAATGCCACGGTGTTGCTGTGAATAGAAGCTGTGACTGGGAGAAAAAAAAAAAAGTGAGGGAAAAAGAAAAGAAAAAAAAAAAAGAGCTAAAATAGATAATGCAAAGCTTAATTTAGAGCATGAAAAATATCCATAAAACTTTGGTGGCAAAAATGTTCAACTCCTAGGCCAAATCCTGTAAATCCTGCTCAATTCCTACTGTTGTAAAACTTCTGTTTGAATGAAAAAGTTGTACCTGTTCTTACAGAACAGCTCACGCATGCTCACTGTACGATGTGTTGTAGTCACTTACATGGCCGACCAGTGGACAAGTGGAGCTCTGCAGCCCTTGGACTTCACAAAGACAAAGTGAACTCCAAAAAGACAAAGTGCTGCAGAAAGCCATTCCAGCATTGATTTATATTCTCCACTTGTGATATTACAGGCATACCATATCTGATTTTCTCTGTAGCCTTCTTGCTCATCAGTCAGTCCCAATTTAAACTCTGTTGTTGACCACAACACTGACAGGGTACAGGCTGATTTTCATGAGGACAAGTCACGAAATGGAAATTCAAGGCAGCGCTATAGGCAAATCCTGACTTTCTTCATGCTAATGAACTAATGGCTTAGAGTAAAAACCTTGGCCCTCAGACCAGGAAAGACTTGCTTTGCATTACATTCTTTCTGATTTCACCTATTACATTCCATTGCTTTGTCTTCAAGATCACCCAGTTCCTCCTGTGTGCTATCCAGTGCAGTACTGACGTGGTCTCCTGTTTTTCTGTCATCAGTAGACAGACATTACTAATTTCATAACTAAAACACTTGGACTACCATGAGTATACCTCATTTTAGCAAAAATACATTCAATTCAATACATTTGAGCTAGCACTATTGAAGAAACACGTTAAATAAAATTATCTGAGGATCTCCGCCAGCAATGTCTCTTCAGCATAACATCTACTTTCAACATTATCTCTTAGCTCCTCCTCAGCCAGCTTCTTACTCATTTCGCAATTCCTCTTCTCATCATCTTTCTCCCCAGCTTAACATACAAATTCTCTTGTGCTGTACTGCAAAAGCTCAAGTAACGAGCAAAAGAGACACAAAGACAAATTCGGTCCCATGTACTATTTACGCATTTTACAGTACATAATCACTGAATAAAGCTCATAAATAAAGAGGGACTATTTTACATCTTCTCAGGCGGTATCTTTTAGAGTCTGTATTCCAAGTTGAATTTGAGGGGAAAGAAACATCTCTTCACCTTCACTTCACTTGTCCTACGTTCGCAGGACTCAGTAACCAAGCAGTTAGGACTCACTTCCAAGAAGCTGGAGATACGTACTTGACAATGCAATCAGAAAATGAGACTCCCTGTTTTCTTGCTCAGTCTTCTGATCACAGTGTCACACTTGCAGAGCATGCGGATGCCACTTAAAACACAGCTGAAGAAGCGAGCACAGCCACCAGTCATTCTGTGCCAGGCTCAATGCCACTTGCATTCACTAGGCAAACATCAAATCCACAGAACAGACTGAAGTCTTAAAGAGTTTACGTGGAGTTTACTATCTGGATGGTATCAGACCTTAACCAGAACTTCTTGAATTGAGGAATGGAGTCTCCTTAACTCTAAAACAGGGATTTTAAATGTGCACCATCCCCTTGGGTAAAAGGGAAGGGTTTTCAGAACCAATGAACAGAAAGACTTAAAGACACTTTTGATACCTTTAAGTATGGCATTAAATGGTCTATTTCTGCAATAAACAGAAAAATGAGAAATAGCTTTTATATTTGAAGAGAATCCAAAAACGATGAACCCTACAGAAATACACAAGTATTTATGTTAGACACTAAACATGCAAGGCAAATCAGTTTTGTTTCAGAAAAATAATACATAACTTTATTATATGAACTACTTTCATGTAATGAAATATAAAAAGTAGTTATGGCAGATAGTTAGAGGTGACTGTTTATTGAATTATATACTGGCTCTGTTAAAAAGTAATGGCTACCAAAGCACGATGTTTGAAATATCAAAAAGGAAATAGATGACATAAAAGACTAAGAGCCTAGAAAATTTGTTTTTTCCATGTATCTAAGCCTTGCCAAGGGAGAACAAAAAGCATATAAAACCACAAAAAAACTGCCTCCCTCTAAACAGAATCCAGCCAAAGAGTCTTAAAAAAAAAAAAAAAAAAAAAAAAAAATTAGAAAAAGGAAAGCTATGCTGTTCAGCTTGAGACACTGGATGCCAAATTTCTGTAAGGAAATATTTTCCCTGAGTTATAAATAGCTGAACATTCAAGTTTATTATAGAAAATCCTAGTAATCCTTAATTAGAGCAGTATAATTTAACATAACCATAAATGTAATCAAATTAAAGAAACATGCTTTTTTAAGCTCTGTCACTGCTTCAAAACTTCTAATAAAGGCACTGAGGTTTATTCAGACTTCTGACTTTCATTCCATGCAGCTCACCTACATGGGGATTAACAGCACTGGCAAATATTATCCAGAGATGATCAAAACTAACTAAAGAGACCCAAAAATAAGGGAGAATAAGTTGAAGATTTGGTCTTTTCAATCTAGCCGAGATGAAGCTCTGCTTTCCTTTTCCACAAGGTGGTGTTCTCTCATAGAGGACAACTGAGCAAAAGCAGGTCCATCTCATAGAAAATTTGCTGAAGAGAATGGTTTTAAAGACAAATCAGCAGGGATGTGGCATCATGACCTCGTATGCACACGTGCAGCAACATGGATAAATGCCCAATAACTGAGTAAAGACTCTGAGATAAAAAATACAATTGCTGGAAGGAGAACAAAGAAAACAGTGGTCAATTTTCTGAACACACAGACATCTCTAAACTTTACAAGACATAGAGGAAATAAACAGGAAAAAATTAAAATATTACTATAAATCAAACAATGATTGAAGTGATATTGCAGAGACTTGTTTATACTGTTCACGCTATGGGAAGCTGCTTATAAAAGAGATTCATTCCCAATCTAACTAGGGGAAAAGGTGGGGAGATTCACCTGGAAATACGAAGAATATATACAAATATTCAGAAAACAGAGGGACACACCTGGTAAATATTCCTCTCGTGAGGCCCCATGTGGAGTACTGTGTCCAGGTCTGGGGCCCTCAGTACAAGAAAGACAGGGAGCTGTTGGAGAGGGTCCAGAGGAGAGCCACAAAGATGATCAGGGGACTGGAGCACCTCCCTTACAAAGACAGGCTGAGGGAGCTGGGCTTGATCAGCCTGGAGAAAAGAAGGCTGTGGAGTGACCTCATTGCAGCCTTCCAGTACCTAAAGGGAGCCTA